ACGAATGGATGAGCAAAAACAATTTTATGGCAAATTGGACATTATTTTTGTTTAAAGTTATTTTTGTGAGTGTAACAGGTTTCTTTCTACAATCGAAAATTCCACCGACATTCGACGATTTCATATAACTTTGTATAAACAAAATTGAAAGATCGAAATATATAAAATTGTGAAACCAAAAATCGTACTCTTGAAACTTTTAAAGATACAGAAAGAGTACTCGTAATTTAAAGATTGTGGAAATTTGAAGCTTGTAAATTTGCAAGATATAGTTGTTTTACTTTTTTATATAGTTGTTTGTTACACTGAAAAATTGATAAATCTGCAAAYATTAAATTCAAGTAAAAGAAGATTAAAAAATAAAGATTTTTTATTTTTACTTTTAAGGATAGGTACAGAAAAATTTATTTAAAAATGGTAAAAAATTAGAACATCAAAAAACAGAAATCAAGGAAAATGTGAAGATTGAAGCGAATAAATACGAAAAGAAGAAAAAACAAGGAAAAATTAAAAATCTTAAAATATTTAAAGGACAAAGAAAAATAATTTAATGATTGAAGATTGTGAAAGTTTATTGGAGATTCAAAGCTTAATAAAAAAAAATAAAGATGAGTGGAATCAACACGTAGAAATTTAAAAGATTGAAAGTGAGAAAAATACACAGATCGACAGATATCTTGAAAATTTATAATAAAAATTTATAATGTGTACTGAAATATCAAGAAGTAGAAAGATATAAAACTACGTGAATAAAGTAGATTCAAAAATAAAGATCTTTCTTTGAATTATTTTTTTAAATTGTATATATTTAAGACAGTCGACAAATCAATCTAATTATCTAATTTTAAAAATTAATCTGAATTATTAAATTAATTTTTTCTTACTAGAACACATAAAATAATTGTAAATTTAGTGATTATTTAGCAACAAATCTCTTAAACTTTAAAAAATTGGGAAAGACAGAATCTTAAAATTAATTCAAAACAAGAGAAAAATTCATGGAAAAAAAATTGACATTTGACTTTTTTTATGTCTATTTATTGTTACCGATGTTTTTAATAATTATTCGGTAAAAGTAGTCCGTAGACCAATTACAAAAATTATAAAAAAAATTCTCGTGTAATAACCGTAGCTCAGAAAAAATTTTCGACAAAAGATCTCAAAACTAGAAACTTCAAAATGGTTTTTTTTCATCTAAATACGATCATTTTTCACTGAAATACATTCTTTCAAAAATCACCAAAAAATATAAGAATTTTTTTAAGCATTGTAAAATTTTTGAATTTTCAAACCGTAAAATTTATAAACCGTAAGAAAATCGAAATTTTAGTTTAATTTGAAAAAATGGTCGATCAATTTTTCGCCTTCTAGTCGTAAACGACCCGCTAAACCAAGCAATAAGTTTTTATTTCCATTTTTTGTTACTGATGAACTTTTTGTTTTATTTTTTTATAATTATTCAGTAAAAATACAAACACTTCGCCAATAAAAGCCACAAATAACGTTAAACATAGTTACAATTCAGGATATAGCTTTTTGTTTTCTCTTGCAAGAAAAGACGTAAATTATTTTTTCGGAAAAAAAATAAATAGGGTCAAAGTGCAAAATTTAAATTCCTAAAATATTTTTAAGATTTTTTAAAAATTACAAAAAAAGATTTTTAACATTTTTTTTCATTGAGAAATCAAAAACCAATTTAAAGACACAGACAAAATACTCGTAATTTAAAGATTGTAAGGACTCAGTACTTGTAAATTTGAAAAATACAGGATGTAGGTCAAAAAGTATCTTTCAAAAAATTGTTACATTAAAAAAGAAATAAATATACAAAAACTAAATTCATGTAAAAGAAGATAAAGATTTTTTTGATTTCTACTTTTAAAGTTAAAGATTGAGAAATTGAGGAGAATGTAAAAAAGATTGCAAATGAAGATTAAAAAATAGAAAGCATATAAAAACAAAATAAAGAAAAAATAATGAAAAATCTCAAACTTGAAACAAAAACAAATAATTTAAAGATTGAAGATTTTGAAAGTTTATTGTAGATACAAAAGCTTAATAAAAAATTAAAAATGTGTACATTCAAGAAAGAGAAAAAGAAAACTGAAAATGAGAAAGACAGATATCTTGAAAATTACTGTCTTGAAATATCAAGAAGTAGAGAGATAAAAAACGTGAATGAAAAATCAGATTCAAAAACAAAAAGAAAGATCTTTGTTTGAAAAATTTGAAGATTTTTAGGGACTTAAATGAGTCCGTCCGTAAAATAGGTGTTTTTGGGAGCTTAAACAAAAAATAAGATTTTTGCAACAATGATTTAACAGATAATAAAAATTTTAACATTTCGCGAATGTCATTACATCGTGAGTTGCGTCACTGTTTTTTAATTAATGGTAATTAACATTTGTTTTCAAAAAAAAATTTTAATATTTTTCTTTGTTTTATTTCGCTTCGGAAAGCAAGCAAAACCATTAAACGTCCTTGTGAAATTTCAAGGAATATTGCTCTCAATTTTATGACCTGATCGACCAGATAACGTTTTTACAGCCTAATTAAAAATCCAAATAATTTTAAAAACTCCAATTTGAATTATGAGAAAGATTTCACAAGGTATGTACACTGAAACGAAGCATTTTTTGCGAAACAATGTGGAATGGTGACTTTAACCTTTCAAATTCTTTAGACATTAAACGGTACCTACAGATTAAATATACAGAAGTCAAAAAACAAGTTTTTGATTGGTGTTCTGTTTACGAGAAGTTAAGCGAGTTTAACTCTCACTGGCTTTTGGAATTGTTGATAAAATAGTCTAATTTGCGTTTCATTCTATGTAAAATCATTCTGATGCCCGTCCTTGACCCAAAAGCCCGAATTTTGCAAAAAAAGCACTAATCTAATAATTTCATTAAGTAATTAGAAAGAATTGTTTTTCCTTGACGGGAGGAAATCAGCATTTTCCTGTCCTCGGAAAACAGCTGTCATTGCCTTAGGCACAGACAGGTGTGGTCTAATAAAAATTCGCATGTAAATTCCGCTCGATGTTTTTCCAATTTTTGTGTTTTGATTCCACTGAATTCTGAATAATATGAATAATAGATGATTAAATGAGGTGAATTGGCAAAAGCGTTTCCGGCACACACTTAATTTTATCATTATTTTTATATCCCGCACGATACACAATTTTTTTTGTTGCGTCACTTGTGAATTTTTTGCGCAACTTCTTGATAATTTTTCGTGTTTTTGCGTAACGAATTTTATAGCTGCGGGTCGTGCAGTTGTTTACTCATTTCATATTCTGGTTAGGCACCCTGAAGGCATGTCTATGAACTGACCCATAGTTTGTTTTTTTATAAACAAAATCAAAGTATTGTTAGGTTGGTAGAAGCGTCATATGGTGAATTACGCACATTAAGATTGGCAGCATTGGGTTACTCAATGACATTTAGAGTAGATATGTCAAATGTCACACATGTCATAGTTGTCACTAACAATTGTTTTTAAAATTATAAGTTGATATTGAATAGAGGTTACAGAAAACATCTGGTTCAGGTGCAAGGACTTGTTTGTGGTAACGAGAAATAACACACTTGATGAATCAAAAAAGAAAGTGGCGAAAAAAATGGAAAAGGAATTTGCTTTTAACCTTTCTATATTTAAATGGTATTTCCTGACTTCCAATAAACTGCGTAACTGTTATTACATAAGAAGTATTTTTTGCCAATCACTCCGACTATGTAGTAATTATTTTATAATTATGTTTCATATGTACAAAGTGGCCTCTGACTTTGAAATTAAGTTGGCCACATTGAATAATGTAAAGACGAGGTTATGAGATTTCCCCTCACAATTGGCTATAAAATTGTGACGTTTGATTTGATATCAATGTTGCCAAATTATAGTTTCATGGCCTGCTACTTTAACACGTCAGTCTTAGTTTCGACTCTCCAATTTGCATATACTTATCGTCTCATTTCAACCTTGAGAAAAAAAAATATCCCAAAAATTCACGCACATTGGCGAAAATCGATAAAAACTTGCAAATTTTTATTTCGAAATGCGAACGCACTCTGCGAAAAGCGAAGAGGATCAATGCCCGGGAGCGTCTTGCAAGAATGCAGCTCAGCTGTTGCATTATCTATCAAACAGCGTTGCCATATCGATAAATTTTTTATCAAAAAAAAAATCAATTGTCTTAAAAACATTGCATTTATTTCTAAAGCAGCCTATATACTCATCATTATAGTTTTAATACTCATACTCCCACCAGATAGCGCATCTCAATTGTTGACAGCTGTCATACATCACAAAAACGGAAACTTTCCTTCGAAATATTAGATGAAATTTTCGGGAAAAATCGCCCACACCATGTGTGTTCTTTTATGATTGATATAACTGTTGACACTTTGACAGTTGTATAATTTCTCGCTTCTGCGCCGGAAACGGCCAAATGGGACACATCTTACGCAAATTACATGTGAAAAATATCAAATGAAAATAGATTTTTCCCAATGGTGAACTTATTCGGGTTCTTGTTTGGCAGGTTGTTTATGTGACCAGGCAACGTGAGAAAGTCACAGCGTGAGTCTTCCTACATGCGTTCCGACACGCACACGTGACCCCGAGGAAAAACAATTTTCACAAACTGTCAAAAATGACATTTCATTATTGGCTATTGTGAGTGCGACTTGTCACGTGATATTTGTTATTATTAAAAATGGAGTATATAAACAAAAACAATTAAAAATGACAACTTACTTCATGTTTGTGATAAGCATTGACCTGTCAAGATTGTAGTTATAAAAAATTTCAGCATTAACCTTGAATCATATTAAAAATTAAAATTCCGTATAAATGAATATTTTACAAAAAGGTGACATTGAATAAAACCAGAAATAAAACAAAATTTCCTAAAACCAGAACCCAAACCCAAACTTCCCCGCCCTTCAAATGCAACAGTCATGCCAACCGCCCCAAAAACTGTCTTATCAACTATTTCGTACCCTTAAACTAGATCCAGAACGTGTACAAAAAAACTAAACAGACAAGAGCCCACTTGCACAAGAACACAAAAGTCACTAGCACTTGAACATTGAAGATGTTTGTACAAGTACGAAACAAATGCACGATTTGGTTTCCGAAAAATCAAAACACTTGTGTTTTGATCGCGTCAATCGACGCCAACTACGACCACTAAACACACTCTACAAAGCGTGGCCTACTACTAGAAGCAGTGAACGAGTGTAAGCAACACAGTCGTTTGTTTTGGTCCGTGGACCAATCAGACGACGAGTTGCTTTGGCGCGCATGTTGCACCCGATTGCATCCACACGGAAATCCTTGGTTATTTAAGAAATGTGAGGTGAGTGTCGATTTTCTTTTATTGTGTAGTAGGCGACATTCAGGTGATTTATTCGGGACGTGTGGTGGTACGACTGGCGCTTAGGCTTTTGTTCTTCAGGAATTTTTATCTTAGTTTTTGGCGGCTTCGGAGATTTATGAGATTGCTTCCTGGATTTAGCAACAAAAGCTGCGATATGTAAAGGGGGCGTGGTTTTGTGCGAGAACCAATCACGACGTGAGGTTTATTGGATGACGCGATTGTTTAATCTTTTTTGAATTTCGTAAAAATGGAGCGCCGACTGGATTAACATACTCAGTAGTTTCTGTCTCATTTTATTCAGTGTTGCAAACCTAATTTGACAATCAGGTTGCTTTGATTAGAAATTATTTCTTTCAAAAAAAAGAGATAAAAAAAAGAAGTTTAATTGTGGGGTATTCAGTACCCGCATTTTCTATTTTCCCGAATTAGCCCCAAGGGGTACTATCAGTACAAAAGGACATAATAATAAAGAATACCCTTGAGCTATTTGAACATAATAAACTTAAATGTCAAAAGTGTCAAAAGTGACAATCTGTAATGTCAAATTTGTGTCGCTTGACATTTATGAAAATTTTTCAATATAGTTGCTTACTCGATTTTGGTAATTCTAAGATACACTTTTTCGAATTTTTATAAATATATATACACATATAGATTTTTGTTTTGTGTGTATTTGAGCCGCCCTTTCAGCAAATCTTGGGATAAATGAGAATTCGTGTGTTCGTGAGCGGGGGATTCACCCCTTGAGACGTGACCACACGTGAAGGGATTAAAAGTAATAAATCTAGCCCCCTCAATATTACCACCCTCTCTGTAATGGCACGACAAACTTAATTTTAGCCGTGCGGTATTGTGGGGCAAAATGAAGATGAATTCGATCGGTGTGATTTATGAGACAGGGACCTCCTTAATCCCATTTTTATTCAACATCTGTCGATCTTTGAACCAATTTAATATAAAATGACAGAAAAAAATTAAACGTGAAAAAGTGATTACCCGCCACTGGTTTGAATTTTCTATTGTTACTATGACGATTTTTATTTTTGTAATTATTTGTTACTATAGTTACAATAAATTTCTATGGCAACTATTCGAATCTGTCTGCACCTGTCACCATAGCCGGCTCGTGTGGGACAAAATAAAAGGGTGGTTCAAAATATTTTTTTGCATTTTCAATTTTTATTGATTTTATTGAAGATAGAGTTTTTTCTGGGACAGCTTATATGTGCCCCTTGAATATTAATGAATGAATTATCTCACGAGTAAACAAAAACCGTGTTTGGATCTTAATTAAATAAAATATTCATTTTACTTCAAGCATAAGTTGTTTTATGCTTATGATTTTATTTTAATTGAAGCTTTATGCAAAATTAATTTAGCTTTCGTAAAAATAAAAATACCACGACTTGCCCTTTAATTTATACAATTTGTTTAATTAAACTGAATATAACAACGTAATAACAATGTGAGAGGTCACTTACTTCAGTTACAATATTTTACAATTTGTGGATTTTTTGGATTATTATTTTTCTAAATCGAAAGTACCTACTCTTTGAAATGAAGGTCATTAAAGTAAGCACATTTCCTTCCAAAACAAAAAAAAACATCAATCCCGGAGCCTTCAAAAACCTGACTTTGGAGAGCTTAAAAGTGGATTCCAGTAATTTAACAACAATTAAAAACGGAATTTTCTTCAACGTTTCATTAAAAAGACTTGACATTGCTTCCAATTTGCTTACAAAAATTGAAACAAGGTTTGCACGGTTTTCTGTTTTCGACATTAAAGTATTTTTGCAAAAAATAATATTGTTATTAGTTTTGTTGTTTTATTTAGTGTCAGGCAACACTCCCGACAAGGGTGTTTCGTTAGTTGCATAACACAAAAATTGGTTGGCAAATAATGTCATTGGTCAAGATCAAACCTTGCCCTAATTTTAAATCGATCAAACAAGTTGTTGGGTCAATAAAAACCGTTTCATTTCAGTCTATTTTTGTTCGGCGAATTGTGTTTAATGCGATCGCGTTCTGCGAATAGCCACTTCCGTTGACAGTTTGCTTCCCCCCACCGTTTTCCGTCCAGTCCACCAATCACAAGCCGGCATTTGAAATCATCTCAACTGCCAAAAGTTGTTCAAGCCTTGGTGGATGCCTCGCCATAAAAGCCAATAATTCTGAATAAAACCTGCAATAAATAGTGAAAATGTCAAAAGTGGACGATTTTGTCGTAGTTCCTGAGTACATATACGATGAGAACACGAAAACAAGATACAAAAAGGGCCAGTTTTTCGGCAAGGTGAGTGTTGTTTTTGTCGAAACGTTAATCTGATAGTGGCCGTTTTTTCAGGGTGGATTTGCAAAATGCTACGAAATCACAAATGTGGCAAACAGTCAGACGTTTGCCGGGAAAGTCGTCTCGAAAAAACTCATAGTCAAGGAAAACCAGAAAGAGAAAATGACCCAGGAGATACAAATACACAAGTCTTTGAAACACAAAAATATTGTCGGTTTTTATAGTTTTTTTGAGGATAATGACAACATTTACATCGTCTTGGAACTGTGCCGAAAGCGGGTGAGTGATTTGGTGCAATAAGGGGGCTGTCTGGAGTCAGTCTCCCCAAATTGCGTTCTTTGCGTATTTGTTTTCTTTATCGGGGCTTTTGATTGAGTCAAACTATGGGAAATTAAAATATTTGTGTTTGAGTTATCACCTAAACTAATATTTAAGTAAATAGTAGATGTCTAAGCTATAATTACCAAAGTTTTTATTTATTTTGTGATTTTTTCGGTTTAGTCTATGATGGAGCTCCAAAAGCGCCGAAAAATGCTCACGGAGCCCGAGACTCGTTTCTACATGCGTCAAATCCTCAGTGGGGTGAGTTACCTCCACCAGAGACGCATCATCCACCGCGACCTCAAACTCGGAAATCTTTTCCTCAACGATGAATTAACAGTAAAAATCGGCGATTTTGGTCTAGCCGCAACGATAGAATACGAAGGCGAACGAAAAAAGACACTTTGTGGTACCCCCAATTACATCGCCCCAGAAATCCTCCAGAAGAAGGGGCACTCTTTCGAGGTGGACATCTGGTCTATAGGGTGCATCATGTACACACTGCTTGCGGGAAAGCCGCCTTTTGAAACACGTTCGCTTAAAGAAACGTACTCTAGGATTAAAAAATGCGAATACCAGTGAGTTGGAGGGATTTATTTGGGGGTTTTTTGTGATTATTTTTGGTCTTTAGTTTCACTACGAACATCTCGCCGGTTGCGAAGAATATGATTATGATTATGTTGCAATCGGATCCGAAATCACGTCCAAAAGTGACGGAATTGTTGCAACATCCGTTTATTACTGAGGGGTATTGTCCGGCGTCGTTGCCGGTCAGTAGTCTGACGATGGCCCCCAGGTTCCATAAGTATGATGCGGCGATGAGGAAGCCGCTTAGTGGGATCAACAACGGTAAGCGAGAAGCTTTTCTCAAAAATTGTTTTTGAAATCTTTAAAAACACTCAGGTGTTGTCACAATCCCACAAAAAAGTAGTGATTTTTTTATAATTCTCAGGAAATATCAACAAAACTTTAATTTTTGAAAAAAATTACGTATTTAATTATTACTTGTTGCCATTATTTTGAATAGGACAACAGGTTTCTAAAATTTCTCAAAAATCTACTAAAACTAAAATAAATACATACAGGGTGAATATAAAGTATGGAACCAAGCGTTTTTTTTTTAAATCATTTGCTGCCAGAAAATAATAATTTATATAAATTAAAGTAATATAAAAAATGTGTTAGTATTTTAAGTGCGAAATTTTATTTTGTTTTTGGATTATGCATTTTTTTTGTCAAAATTGGTCTAAAAATTTCCAGACTCTAGTTATTTTAGACAGTTTTGAGCGATTTAGTTAACTTCAATTATCTAAAAAGATCACACGATTTAAATTATTCT